CAGTAAAGATTATAGCCTAGAAAATCCTATAGAGCAGTTCTACTTTGTCACATGGGGTCACTTTGAGTAGAAATCAACTTGACAGCACTTAACAACAACAACAACAACACGATGTGCTTAGGAAGTTACAAATAGTTCTCAATATCTGATCAACAATGAGGATCAGGTGATAAAAAGTGAAAAATAAATTTCGTCAAGTAGCCTAGCTGAATAACAAAGAGACTTATATTTAGCTACAGGATTGATAATTAATTCCAAAATTAGAGGAGAGCCAATGTTTATAGTGGGGATGTTCATGATCAAGCTCATCCAATGGAAAAATCACCTTGGGTCAGTGTGAAGAAGACACTGTTGCTGCTATCAAAGCCATAGAAACATGAAGGAAATGCCACAGTGGAACTGAGGATAGAGAGGGGAGGAATGAATGGAGATTCATTATTGCATAATTGGTACAGAATTTTTGTTTTTGGTGGTGAAAAAGTTTTGGAAATAAACAGTGGTGATAGTTGCCCAACATTGTCAATGTAATTAATGCCAACAAATTGTACACTGATGGTTAAAATGGCTAATTTTATGTTATACATATTTTATCACAATATAATTTGGAAAACAAGACCAAAGAATATATGGCAGAGTTATAACAGTCTCTATCATTCACTTACACATCGTGCTGTACAAATCATCCTTTCTAACAAAGTTATGAACTAACTGAGTATATTACAGTGGAAATGGAAAAAAGTCTTAGGGAACTTTCATAGAGATACAATCATCCGATCCTCATATATATACAAAGTATAAGGAAGTTTGGCATCCACTATTGAGTGTACATCTTATCAGTTTACAGAAAGCAGGCTGGCACTCAGCATCCATTCCTCCCCGCTTTCGTTTGTGTTCCTGTACAGCAGAGGATGGTAATTGGGAAACTGTTTCCCAGGATCACTAAAACCTAACATTTCCATGCGATTACTGGGATATTGACTAGATGTACAAAGGCGAATCAAAGGGCAAAAGTGAGGCAGATCCTCGTATCAGCCAATTATGTGGCCAAGGACAGTTGAAGGGCATTTGGTTATTTGGAATAAATGAAGGCAAATTTCCATGTCAGTAGCATCATAGGTGTCCAGAAGAGATGTGCTTACCTTTTGTTAAACAAATGCAGATCTAGCAGGCACAGTGAGTCTTGAGCTAAAAATTATAACGAAAGTTTCCTACTATCTGGACTGCAAAAATGCTTCGTGCTTGTGGAGCCAATCATTTCAGTGGAGACTTCTTGATTCCACCACCTTCCTGATGATAGAAGAGGTATCAACATTCTTAGCTGGTCTGGTTTTCAGAGTTGTTCTAGAAGTCATTCCCAACACTTCAAGGACATACCACCAGTCCTTTCCATAATTTAATACGTACATGTGTACAAAGTCTCTGCTCAAAATTCTTAACAAGACTTCTGTTTAAATAAAATAATGCATAGAGCTCGAATATTTCATACCAGAACTGATTGCAAGAAATAGACTTCCCAAAATAGGAATCTAGAAAATAATAGCTCAACTTGTTGGGCTTGAGGACAGTGATGATGCTCTTCCCATGGGATCTTCCTTTCCTAGTACTACATGGCTAGACAGTGAAAGATCTATTTCATAATGAATCATCTGCAGTCATCCTGAAGGAATTAGCTAGTGCACAGAAGATTTTGGGTAAAAAAAAAGGTTTTGAAAGAAATATAGAAGAAGCAATTGTTTATAATATATACAAATCACAGAGATTGAATTCTGGAAATAATGCAGATTTATGAAGTGATGAAAGTATTATGATTTAGGTCTTCATAATTAGAGCTCTGTTCATGAGCAACTCTCTAATCTTGAGAAAAATGATTCTGTTATGTAGAGAACGTTTCTTAGCTGAAAATTTTTTTTAGAGCCTGCTTTATGTCCTTGTTTCTAAGACTGTATATAAACGGGTTTAACATGGGTGTGGCCACAGCATACATCACTGAGGCCATTGTACTGGCCATGGAGTTTGGGGTAGCAGCAGAACTGAGATATACCCCAACACCTGTGCCATAGAACAAGGAAACAACTGAGAGGTGAGACCCACAAGTGGTGAAGGCTTTATACTTGCCCTGAGCTGATGAAATTCTCAAAATGGAGAACACAATCTTAGTGTAAGAGAAAAGGATCCCAGCAAGTGGAATAACACCTACAAGCCCTGTTGTAAGATACATCGCTAAGTCATTGAGGAAGGTGTCAGAACAAGCAAGTTGGACTACCTGATTAAGTTCACAGAGAAAGTGGTGGATTTCCAACTTCGTACAAAAAGACAGTCGTAAAACCATTAAGCTATGTAATACAGAGACCACAAGCGTCAATAACCAGGATATCAGAAGCAGGAGGCCACAGAACTTGGGGTTCATGATGACCGTGTAGTGCAGGGGGTGACAGATAGCCACAAACCGGTCATAGGCCATCACTGCCAAGAGGAAGTTGTCTAATCCTCCAAACAGCATGAAAAAATACATCTGGGTGATGCAGCCCTCATAGGTGATAACCTTGTTCTGCATCTGGATGTTCAGCAGCATCTTTGGGACTGCGGAGGAAATAAAACAGATGTCTGCAAAGGAGAGGTTGGAGAGGAAGAAGTACATGGGTGTGTGGAGGTGGGAGTCAATGATAATGGCCAGAATGATGAGCAGGTTCCCAATGAAGGTGGCCAGATATATTGAAAGAAATAGCCCAAAGAGGAAGGGCTGCATCTCTACCTTTTCTGAGAGCCCTAAAAGGATGAATTCTGAAACACGTGTTTGGTTTCCTGGTTCCATGTAGCTGATGAAACCACTGGAAAAGAAAAAACAGCAATGCAACTAAGCCATAAGCAGTTAACAACTACTTAACAGATATGCTGATGTTTATATTTTAAACATGTTTAATTAATTAATTCAATATGTTGTCTATAGATCTAGTACCCTTTAGCTGAGAATTTCATAGAATACTGAATGCTCTATCTTCTCAATGATGTTAAAACCAACTAGACATCCTTGCCTCTAATCCCAAAGTTTTTCCCAAGGCAACATTTTTGTCTAGAAATTCCCCCCAAGACTTTGTTTCATTCATTCAATAAATATTTTTGACCAATTCTTTTTTGCCAAGTGTTGTTGAAGGCACTGGAAACAGCAGTAAATATTAATTTTAAAAATCCTTGCCTTAAATGTTATTCTAGGACATATGTGTTGGGGGTGGGAGTCTGTGAGCCAGGGGCCAACTGTGGAAGGACCATCAATTGCTCATATGCAAGTTCAAGATAAAACTGAAGAAAATTAGAACAAGTCCATAAGAGCTAAAGGATGACCTAAAGTATATGCCACCTGAATTTAGAGACCATCTCAAGAATAGATTTGACACATTGAGCACTAATGACCAAAGACCAGACAAGTTGTGGAATGAAATCAAGGACATCATACATGAAGAAAGCGAGAGGTCATTAAAAAGACAGGGAAGAAAGACCAAAATGAATGTCAAAAGAGACTCTGAAAGTTGCTCTTGAACGTTGGGTAGCTAAAGCAAAAAGAAGAAATGATGAAGTAAAACAACTGAACAGAAGATTTCAAAGGGCAGCTCGAGAAGACAAAGTATTATAATGACATGTGCAAAGACCTGGAGATAGAAAATGAAAAGGGAAGAACAAGCTCGGCATTTCTAAAGCTGAAAGAACTGAAGAAAAATGCAAGCCTCGAGTTGCAATATTGAAGTATTCTCTGGGAAAAATATTAAACCATGCAGGAAGCATCAAAAGAAGATGGAAGGAATACACAGAGTCACTGTACCAAAAAGAATTGGTCAATGTTCAACCATTTCATGAGGTAGCATATGATCAGAAACTTATGATAATAAAGGAAGAAATCCAAGCTGCAGTGAAAGCATTGGCAAAAGACAAGGCTTCAGGAATGGATGGAATACTAACTGAGATGTTTCAACAAACCGAAGCAGTGGTGAAAGTGCTCATTCATGTATGTCAAGAAATTTGGAAGAAAACTACCTGGCTAACTGACTGGAAGAGATCCATATTTATGCCTATTCCAAAGAAAGGTAACCCAACAGAATGTGGAAATTATTGAACAATGTCATTAATATCACACGCAAGTAATATTTTGCTGAAGATCATCCAAAAGTGCCTGCAGAAGTACATCGACAGGGAACTGCCAGAAATTCAAACAGGATTCAGAAAAGGACATGGAACCAGGGATATCATTGCTGATGTCAGATGGATCCTGGCTGAAAGAAGAGAATACCAGGAAGATGTTTACTTGTGTTTATTGACTATGCAAAGGCATTTGACTGTGAAGTTATCGATAACATTTCGAAGAATGGGAATTCCAGAACACTTAATTGTGCTCATGAGGAACCTGTACATAGATCAAGAAGCAGTCATGGTTTAAAGTCAGAAAAGGTGTGCAT